GGAGCCATTCTACAATATTTAGGTTCCAAGATGAACATGGCCAGGCATCACTTGACAAACACTTAGGGCAGCCTTTCCCTATTTTTAGTTCAGATACTTATAGAATGACATCCGAGTGCATGCACGCCTACTGGCCCACAGCTGGGAATCACACAGCCTGATTCTGCCCAAATAAGGGTGGCAAAGAGTACCAGTCCCCCATTGAGGCTGGACCCAACAGGTGGACAGCACAGAGAGGTCCGGATGCCAGGGATGGGCTCTCAGCAGGTCAGATTCCAAGTGAGAAGGGGCAAGGCTGGGCCACGCCCTCAGCTCACTCTGAATCAGCTCCTCTCATCTCAGTTGCGTGGAACAGCCCTGCCATCTTCCTCTGCAGGCAGCAGCGTGGCTGCCCTCCTATGTAGCTGGGGCCACAGGCCTCAGGGCCGTGCACTCTTGCAGGAGGCTCCTTGCTGTCAGGGAAGCCACTGGCAGAGCAGGCTGCGCACTGTAGGCATGAAGGGTGCATGGGGCCCACTGTTTTGACAGAGAGGAGCAGAGTATCAGGTCCAAATGGGGCATGGGGGAGAAAGCAGAGACTCCAGTCAAGAGCCCATACGGTGCCTTTGTGCACATTAGAACAAGCTCCTTTGTTCAGGGCCTGACCCAACCACACAGGGAGGCTGTGCAGGTGGAGGCTGCAGAAGGCCCAGAATCTCAGCAGGGCCATTGGGAGGCGCCTTCTGCTCTCTGCTCTAGGCAGCAGCAAGGGCTGTGCCCTGGCTTTGTGCACCAGCCCAGTGTGGACAGTCTGAGGCAGGAGGGTCAGCCAGGCTCACGTGGCCAGTGGTGGCAGTCAGATGGGGTCAAGCCAGATTTGGCCACCTACTGTCTTCTTGAATCTACTGGTCAGAAAGGTCCCTGCGTCACACACCCCACCGCTACCACCAAGGAGATCAGCCTGGGTACATCCAGCCCCTGCTCAGCTCCCTGGACTCTCCTTTGGTTGCCAAATTCTGCTCTCCTTTTTGCACAAGAGACCAGAGACCAGAGACCAGAGGCCAGAGAATTCCAGCAGAGAGAGCATGGTGCAGCTCCTGCTGGCTTCTGTGGGCTTCCTCTGGGGGTCCGTCATGGATCTGAAGGTGGCAGGAGCATTCTGGAGTCCTCCGGCTATGCTGGCCCATCGGCCTGCTAGGGCATTCATCCAGCTACTTTGCAGAGCCAGGGGACTTCAGCGCCGGGGGCTTGCAAGGGCATGCAGCCCAGGAGGGACTCCCGAGCCTTGACCCTGGCAGGAGGCAGGGCGGCCGAGCTGCTTGGCTCAGGATGGATCCTCACCCCGGGGCTCGTTAGCAGACAGGGTCGCAGCTCCCCGTACAGGGGAGGGCTGCATTTGGGGATTTCTGTCCCTGAGGAGGGGAAAGGCTGCCGCCGAGTGGCCGTGGGGCTGGCTAGCTGGCCTTACCGCCTTTGCCTGTTTCAGTGCACGGCTTGGTCCACTGCGCACGTTTGTCTCCCTGCAAGGCAGCTCCTGGGGGAGTTCACTCAGTCCCCGACCTGAGGGAGGAGAGCTTAGGGCCCAGAGAGAGCCTGTCGGGGGCAGGGATTGGGGAAGCCTCGAGTTTTGGAGGGGACACAGGATGGAGTGTGGAGGGTGGTGTCTAGCAATCCCACCCCTGGGGGCGCTGAGCTGAGTCCCAGCCACGAGGAGGGGCAGAAAGAGCCGAGTGTTCAGGACATGCATTTGGGGGGTGAAGTCGATGAGGAAGGGTGCCGCTGGTCTGGTGACGTGGGGCCCGGGCCGGAGCTGGGGCTTTTTGACACTACGGTTTTCTCCTTTCTTTGTCCTCCCTCACACCAACGGTCTGAGCCACCGGGCATAGCCTCCGCGTGGGTCCCTGCGTGTGCACCTGCCTGTGTTTCTCTGTCTCTCTCACTCCTGCTAATCCCCTTCTTCTTTCTCCGTTCACGTTTCATCTCGGGCTGGTGTGACGTTCCCACGCCGGCGCTCCACGGGGGGAGCAGTGGTCACGGAGGGGAGGGCCCCTGAGGGGCACCCGGCAGCATGTTAGGGTGTGAGGGGGCGGGGGAGGCTGTCCCTTAGGGGCCTCCCCATGCCCCTGCCTTCTGCCCGGGGAAGGCAGAGAGTCGGAGGTGTCAGGAAAGTGTCGGGCGCAGGGTGCGGCTCTGAGTTTAGGGTGTCGGTCTGGCACAGGGCTTTGCCTCGTCTCTGGATGGTTCTCAGCCTAGCCGGAGCACGAGGATTACTTTAAAGAAACAGCAAAAGACAGTGCTATGAAGCTCGCTGGGGGTGTCAGAGAACAGACACGGTCAGGGTCACCTTGTGTGCAGTGGTGTCCGTGTGCGTGAGTGCATGTGGCCCACGTGGGCGCTTGCGTCTGCGGGAAAGACGGAAATCACTGCATTTCCAAAGAGACCTGTGATTGGAACAAGGCTGTGAACTTTGCTCCAGACCCCCAAGCTTTATCCATCTGCCAAGTTAGGCTGCAGAAAAATCCTTGTCCCCACCACACACACAGAGCAAAGTCATCCTCTGAGAGCTTCGGCCTGCCACGTCACCGTGGGCACCGTTGCGAGTGGGCAGCAGAGAGGGTAGGTAGTGTGGAGGACGTCATTCCCGCCTTGGCCACCAGGCTTTCACTGTCACGCAACGCGCCCTTCCCCGATGAACACCTGCTTCCTGTATGACACACAGGGGCCGTGGTATTCTGTCCTTCTGCCTCTGCCTGGAAGTCTGAACGTGCGAGTCAGGCTTGGGTCTCGCCATGGGTTGCCCCAGACCTTGGCCTTGATGGCTTGGTGTTATTGCATCTGGCAGCTTCTTCTGATTCAGATTCGTGCTTGCAGGGCTTCCTGGGCTCTCGGTGCAGCCCCGCCGCTGCCACTTCTCTTGGCCCTTGGACGCATTATCAAGTCCTCTATGCCCCTGGTTCCGCACCATCAAATGGCGATGGTGACAGTGCCTGTCTCATAGGGTTGTTGCTGTGAGTGTTAAATCTGTTAATGCCAGCACCACACCCAGTATCTGTCTCACAGCAAGTGGCCTATCAATGCGCACCTTCCTCTCCAAGGAGACGCCTCTGCACAGCTGTTCTAGGACCCGTCTGCGGGACACAGGCCCTGCTCGTGAGTGGCATCTCCCGTCTCAAGGTTTCAAGCGCTGGTTAGAAATGTGAGGCACCCCTGGGGCATGCTCTGTCACTATTCACTCATTCATTCTGTCATCCACAAGGCCACCAGGATGGCTAAAGAGTGGAAAGGAGAGCTTTGTTGGAGATACCAGTTCGCAAACTTCTCCTGTGTGGGGTGAAGGTGCTTTTTAGGAAGAGAGAAAGGGCAGGTTGGGTTTCATGCCTCACAGGGTCTGTGTTTTGCAATAGAGTCATACATATTCAGCAGGTTTGGGGGAAAAGCTGTACATATTTATGGGGGGTCATGCACATGTGCAATGGTTAAACATACATGTAACACACATCCCATGTTCACTTTGACTTTGGGGCAGGGTTTTAGCACAAAGTGAGGTGGAATCTGGCTCTTCACATCACAAGGTGAACTACTTAACACAAAGACAGTCGTGTGCAGTCTCTAGGAGCCGGGCTGAGACTGGCTTAGGGTCTGCAGTTACTTGTCAGGGAAGCATGTTTGTAAGGCCGGTTCTCTGTTCAATCAGAGTTGTAGGGTCTGGTTGTAAATCAGAGTCAGAAGGGGTTGGAAAACTTTCCTAATAGCTCCCATCGTTAGCAAGCTTAGCAAAGATGTGGTTTTCTTGTAGCCACAGGAATTTAGGAAGTTGCCACAGCAGCTAAGTCCTGAACCCTTGGCCCATGAGTAACTTTTGTTTCCCTAACCTTAGGGTCTGTCTCAGTTGGATAAAGGGGCATCTATTTTGGTCCCTCAGATCACAGTTCATTCAGCAGACATCTAATAATACCCCCTCTGGGGCAGGCACCGCACCAAATACCGGACATCACACTGCGCAGCCCAGTGGGGAGACCAGCTGGGAGACGCAGCCGAGGGTCAATACCTGGGGAGTGCGGGGCTGGTGCACAGCAGTGCTACATGTGTGTTGTCAACTATTGGCGTGGCTGGTTAGGATGGGCGAGCACAGCGCTGCAGGGCACACAGAGGGCGGTTAGCGCAGGTGCGGGGAGTCAGGGAGGAAGCGATTCAGAACCAAGAGCAAGTGAGGGAGGAGTGGGGAGAAGAAGGGGCCAGGCAGAGGGTGTGGCCCAGAGGCAGCAGACGCCTTGCCTGCGTGGGGAGCTGGAAGCCCCGCAGTCCTGCTGGACTAAGAGGGCCCATGGGAGTGAGGCGGAAGCCTAGACAGGCAGGCTGGGGTCAGCGTGTGGGTCTTGGAAACTGTGTTAAAGGGCTTAACAGAACTCGACAGAATCGTATTCCTGGTCGGGGTTTTGAGAGGGGCTCTAACGTCCCAGCAAGGCTCCAGGACACTTGGTGGCAGTCGGGAGCCCACTTCTGGGCTCTGAGGGTGGTGGCCAGGTGGGAGGGGTATCTGTGCGAGTGGGTGGCTGGGGACCCTCAACCCCCTGGCCTGATCACAGCTGGCTTTGTTCTCACTAGCCTCTGGGTTTTCTTTTCTTGTAGATCTTGGAGGAGCTCAAGTGTTGGCAACTGGCAAGTCTGCCGGGGCTGAAATTGGTAGGTGACTCCATCTAATTCTGGGTGCAGGGTCGGGGGGCAGAAGGAGGTTTTCCAGAAATCACAGGCCGGTGGCTGCGGTGCTGGTATTGGTTGCACACCAGTGAGTGCAGAACAAGGGCCACCCTCCCTCCAGGCCTTCTTGCATGGCTAACAGCTTTATGCCAGGGGGCAAGAGCCTGTCCTCAAAGGGGACACTGTTACCTCCCCAGTGAAGGGGCTCATTTGCTTGGTGGACATCAAGTCAACAGACAGAGCCTGGTTGATTATAGCGAGAGGGCTTTTATTACCTGGCACTGGTAAGGAGCACACGGGGTACCCCCCAAAGCAGTGTGCCCGGAACAAGAGGGTTGGGCTGGCTTTGTAAGCATAGGGTAGTGAGGCGTGAGCTGATTGGATCTTGCAGTGAGGTGATGCCAGGAGGCATGATCTGACTGGACCCTGCCATGCGGTGACCCAGTCTGATTGGGTCCTGGATCCTGCGAGGCGGTGCCCACTTCTGCAGCTCCCTTTCCTCAGTCCAAGCACTTAGGTTCCTCCGTGGTTGCACACTTGGTTCATTTGGGCATGCTCAGGTCATGTGACCTTCAACCGGGGGGGCCCATGGCAACTGAGAAGCAGCTCACAACTTCGTTACATACACGCTGAGCCGGATAGTCTGGTGTGGTTACAGCAGGAGGCATCGGGGCCACCTCTGTCTGGTCTCTATGCTGGATGAGCACCCCCAGCACCCATAGCACCCTGCACTGAGCTGAGAGCCCCAGACAGCAGGCTTTGCCTCCCCCGTCCATCCCTCCACCCGCACAGTCCAGCTTCTCCCCACCCTGGGGGCTTGCCTGGCTCGCCCCGCCGGCAAGGTGCGGTCTGCACGCACTTCCCCTTGAGGGCTCCCGACACTGATGAGTCCACGCTGGCCCAGCGCAGCCCCGTTGCGTGGCCTTGGAGTGAGTTCTTTGCCCGTCCTCCCCAGCCGACTGCAGGCTCCTCGAAGGCAGACAGGCCCCCATTCGTCTGCCTTCAGCCTCACCTCGGGGCAGGCGATGAACATGTCCTCGACAAACGGGTCCATGAGTTAATGAAGGGATAAGTGAGGAAGGGATAAGTGAGGGCCACAGGAAGCCAGAGAAATGAGCCACCTGCCACCTGGCCTGGGGTGGCAGGTGGGCCCCTGGGAAGGTGGGAACAATTTCCACAGCTGGAGGGACCAGGGGCGTTGCTCCAGGAGGACAGGGCGGGAGGCGGTGAAGGCGGGGGCAGGGCGCTCACAGGGAGTGGAAGATAGGCCGGCCTCGGCGGTGGGAGCGCGCGCGCGTGCTGTGGCCGTCACCACCTGCAAAGGCAGCTGCAGAAGACCTGTGCAGCGTGGCGACTGAAGCCCCTGCTCGATTCCCCCCTGCCCGCCAGACATCAAGTACGCCCTCATCGGCACCGCGCTGGGCGTCGCCATCTCTGCCGGCGTCCTGGCCCTGAAGATCTGCATGATCAGGAGACACTTGTTCGATGACTACTCTTCCGACCTGAGAAGCACACACCAGGCCCCCAACGGTGAGGGGCTGGCCCGGGAAAGCACAGTGTCGTAGGCGGCCACCCGGCGAGAGGCGCCCAGGGCCACTCCGTGGCTCTGGCTAGAGAAGGAAGCAAACCTGCGGTCCCCGAGCCCAGCAGGCTGCGGCTGACGGGAACTGCCGTGACCCTGCTGTGTCTGCGTCTCTCTGCGCCTGCTTCTGTCTCTCTGTCTCTCTGCCTCCCTCTGTCCTTTTCTTTCAGCTCTAGGGTTCCGAGAATCGAGTTTCCCGGAGAAAGGCGGGAAGAGCAGCTGAGACTGGCTTCGGACAGAAATTTCTATTCTCCCTTCCACCTGGTAGAATGAGGCAGGCTCGGCCTCAGGAGGAGTGAGGCTGGTGCCCGTGCGGGCAGGCGGCGGCGGTGCTCCCACACCGCGTGCGTGGCCGGGCGGCATCGCTCGGGTCCCGTGACCTGGGCAAGCCCCGCTCAGCCCGGCGCTGGCCCGGGCGAGGCCAGTCTGCCGGCTTCAGCAGCAAAATGCAGTGCTGACTGGCATGCCCCCTCTCAAGGCGTCACCACGAAATCATCCTGTGTCGCATTACACTGCTTAAGGCAAGGATGGCGCAGTTTCGCACGAGGCGTTTCCGCGGAGAAAGGAGCCTCCCTGCGTTTCTGGGAAACGTGGTTCTGCGCCAGGAAGATGAGCAGAAGGGGCGGTCGGGCCAGGCAGGAGCGGGGACCCTGAGATGCAGGCATGCCCCATTGCACCAGCGGCTTGATCTGCCCTAGGGGTGTGTGCGGGAACCCTGAGATGCAGGCGTGCCCCATTGCACCAGGGGCTGATCTGCCCTAGGGGTGTGTGTCTTGTGGATTTTGTGTTCCTGTAAATACGGGGGAGGAAGCGGCCTCTTCCCCCGCCACAGTCGGGCCCCGGATCACTCGAGGACATCAGTGAACTACAGCAGCGGTCCCCGGCCTTTTTGGCACCGGGGACCAGTTTCATGGGAGATGATTTTTCCACAGACCAGGGTTGGGGGTGCGGGGGGAGCTCTGCGCCCGGTCCACAGCCCGCAGGTGGGGACTGCAGAACTAGAGGGAGCTGCGAGTCCCGGGCCGTGAGGGAGGCCAGGGCTCTAGGGAACGCTCGGTGCCTCCTCTGTGCCGAGCCCTCCTGCCTAACGCCCGGCTTTCTCTGTCTAGACACCACGCTGCTGAAGAAGAGAGCCCCGAGGTAAGGTCGCTGCTGCTGCGGTCAGCGAGGGACGTTCCCGTCCCAGCATCCCACTCCCTTGCTTGCCATCCCCGCCCTTCTCTGCACTCTGCCATGCTTTCTAGGGGGACTAGAATGTGCCCCGCAGCCCCCTCCTCCCACCTCCTCCCCTTGGGACCAGTGGGCAGGTGTCATGAGAGTGGGGGCCTCAGGGCACAGTAGCCGAAGGGGACTTGGGCTTGTTTCTGCACACCCTGGGTCAGATTCTGGCCCACCCTCTGCTTGGAACCCTCCAGGACATCCCCAGCCCCCACTTAAAATGAGGTCCCAGCCTCTGCCACCACCCCCTTGGGAGGCCACACAAGGTCTGCCCCAGGTTTCCTGGCTTCTCTGCTGGCAACCAGCCACACTGCTCTTCTTCACGGAGCACACATCCTCATGGACAGTCCTGCCTCAGGACCTTTGCACTTGCTTTTCCTACCATGTGAAATGCTCTTTGCCTATGTAGCTGCGAACCTTGCCCCTCATTTCCTTCACATCTCTGCTTCAACGTCACCACTTCATTATAGACGGCCTGTTTAAAGCAGAATCCCCCCTCCCCCATAGCCATTATTCTCTTCCCCTTACCTGGCTTTATTTTTTCTTTATAGTTCTTTCCACCAGTTGATGTTATATGCTATATTGATTTGTCTTTTTTTTATGGTTTTCTCCCTAAAATGCAAGCTACTTAAGGGTGGGGTCTTCCTTTTCACCTCTGTGGCCCTAGCACTTAGCACAGTACCAGGAGCAGAGTAGGTGCTCCTGTACCTGTTGAATGAATGAATGAATGGGCATGAGGCCATGAGCCAGGTGCTGGGGGTTAAGAACAGAGAAGGAAGACAAGCTCCCTCCATCTACACGGAGACAGGCAGGTGGCAGATGGTGGCTGCACGTGGGAGCGAGCCCATTGGCAGGGCCACACATGTGTTGCCTCGTGTCTTGGGGATCCAGAGGCCACACAGCCGGGAGGGAAGGTGCAGGTGGTCTTCAGTCTGCGTGTGGAAGGACAGAGAGAAGCTCGTGTAGGCACAGGGCACCCTGGTCTGTGCGGGCGTGCGTGGGTCATTGCGGAAAGCCTGCAGCCAGCAAGCACGCAGCGGGCAGGAGCAAATGCTGCTCGTGGAGTGTGGAGGGACGAGGCTGGAGGGACAGGCAGCTTCACTCACGGGGAGCCAGAGGGTCTGTGCTAAGCACAGGAGTCTGAAATCTATCCTGAGACTTCTGGTCAACCACCGATGGGTTTTGGTGGGGGAGGGATGGGATATTTTTTGTGTTACAGTAGCAAAGAGGAGGGGCCCGGCCGGAGACAGGGACACGTGCAGGGAGGGGTAGAGTCGGGCCCTCTGCAGAGCCCTGCTGGAGCAAGGCCAGGTGGAGGTGACAGAGGAGACGGCAGATGGGGGACATGGAGGAGGCTGCCAGCCCAGGACCGGTGGGGCTGAGGGTGTTCGTACGGCCATGTGAAGAGAGAAAGGGACCTAGAGCAGCTCGGAGCTTTCTGGAAGTAGGTGGGGGAGCAGCTCTGGTCGTGGGCTGAGGGGGTGAGATGGCAGCTCCTTTTTCGAACATGGTGAGCCTGAGGTTTCTGGAGGCTTCCTAGTAGAGATGTTCGGTAGGTGGCTGGTGGTCAGGACAGAGGAAGGGGCTGAGACAGCGGTGGTGGCTTCTAGGAAGGGGCGAAGCACAGTCCCACCCTCTAGTTCTTCCATGCGACCTGGGGCTTGGTAAGTACCAAGCGGTGACCAGTGCGGGAGTGGACGGGCGGAGGGGACGAGAGACGATGCGTGGCGCAGTCGTCAGGGGTCGGGATCCACAGCACTAATGGGTTCGCGCCCCGGCGATGAGCCAGCAATGGCCTTTCTTGAGAAGCTCACTGTTTTGACGATTTCCCCTTCTTCAGGTGTTCTGGTTTTGGCCGTGCTTTCCGACTGCGAGGCCCTTCCCGCTCTCCTTCTCCCCGTCCCCTGCCCCTCCCCACTTTGTTTTACTGGTCACCCCACCGGGGCCAGGGCTGGGGAAGACAGAGGTGTAGGTAGGAGACCACGTGACTTAGCGCCCGAAGTAGGACTTTGTGAAGTGAGAAGAGGCACCGCTAAGTCCTAGGGAAGCAGGGACGTGCGGTCACCCTAGGTCGACTGGGCCTGGGAGGTGTCCAGGCCCCGGGTGGCCACATGGCTCTCCTCTCGCTGGCCATGTCACCTCTTCTGCACCAGGGCAGGGGGCTTTTGGAAATGTGTGGTGGAATTGGGGGCATTTCAGCCTGGGGGGACTGGGGTGCCAGGCATCCCATCTCAGAGACACACGCACACATTCACGCACACATTCACACGCACTGGATGAAGCTGCCACATTCCTCTTCATAGAAGAAACACGCTGAACATCCCCCAGTGCCACCAAACCCGTGAGACCACTCACGCCGGAATTTGGGGCTCCATGCCCTGCCCAAGAGGACTTCTCCCTGGGGCAGCTCTGTCTTATTCCAGCCCTCGAGGGACCAGCATGATGCCAGGTCCCCTGAGTGTGCCGCTGCGGCGCCTGGCCAGGAGGGCGTCCTGGTCGGCGCTCACCCAGAGGCAGCGCTCGCCAGTTGTGCGTTGGGTGCTACATCGCCCTCCCCCACTGTGGGATCGGGGCCCACTGACCTGCAGCAGGGTTTCCGCGCTGGGCTCTTGGTGGACTGGGACCCAGGGAGGCTGCGGACGGAGCCTGGAAGGATGAGGAGACTTGGCTCCAGGTGGAGGGGGACCTGGAGATGAGCAGGTGACCCCCAGAGCCAGAACCTGCGTTGCCTTTGTGGGCCCAGGTGGCCTCCCCAGGTGGGGAGTGCGGGAGGAGTCAGTTTTGGACAGGAGCAGAAGCTGCAGACGGCTGTGGCCAGCTCGGGGCCTGTGATCAAGACCACTGAGCCCCGTGGGGACTTCAGCACGGTGACCGGCTCACCACCCCCAGGAAGGGCGCTGGGGTACTCGAGCTCCACCCGGCACAGCCGGGCTACCTTGACCATCCAAACTGCCCACATGCATTGAGTGGCACTTTGAGTCAAGGCTCTTGCTTTGGAAACCTCTAGAACTTGACACAGATCATGTTTCAGGAGCATCTAAGTCATGGAATTCACATAGCATGAAATTTCACGAAGCCCAATTCTTAATCCTGGTGGATGTGTGTGCATGCATGTGTGTTTGTGTGTGCATGTGTGTGCATGTGTGTATGTGACAACTTATAATGATTGACACATAGGTGTGTGAGGGAAGATGCTGTGAGCAACACAACATAAGCCAATCTGCAAGCACTGCTGGATGAACAGTCACTGTGTTTTTGCAGGCTCGTGCAAGAGGAGCATCTATGCTCTGTGTGTATGTGGAAGCTCTGGATTATTTTGAGACATCAGGGCTATGGGAGGCAATTTCCATAATCCAGGCAACATGGGTGCAAAATATTCAACGATGAATGTTTTGAAAGTGAAGTGCAGGAAAAAAAGCACATGATTGCATGCCGGAAGAAGGCAAATGGGTGGAGGAAGGGAGAGAAGAGATGAAGGACGGGAGAGCGGGGAGCTGGGAGGCAATGGCGGGAGGCACGTTTGTCCCCGGGACAAACTGCTCACGGGCCGGGAGCCGCGCTTGCAGGCCTCGTACCAGAGCTCCCCTACAGAGGGACTTCCCAACACAGGGGAGGCGCAATTCAAGTTTCCAAAACTGACACTAGATGGAGTCAGGCTGAGTCGCCAAGAAGCTAGATCCAAAAGAAAAAGCTGTTGACAAGCGAGCCATTCTCCCAAGGTAAAACTTTGCATGTGCTTTCTGTCCTCTGAGACTTAGCTAATGAGCGTCCGGTTACCTTG